TGTGCACTATTAATGGTTTGTTTGATTGGCATCTAACTGTACAAGGGTTGTAAGCATTCAGTCGTTTAGTTGACTATTCACTTTAATGGGATAATAAGGATTTTATGGAGGCGAATTTTGTCGACTACAGCCCTAAACTGCACAATCTAATGCTTGCTGTCACTGTAATTTCCACTCTGTTTCTTGCTACTGCTATCAGGAATAACTCCACGCTATATTTTTTGTAAAAGTAACTCTCCCCTGGTATATGATTACATCATTCAAAATTCTACATACCCGAATACATTGAATCGCATACATAATCACATGTACAGTATCCTAAATTAAACACTAGGGGTGCAACTATATCTAAGTTTCAAGATACGATATCGCCACAGTATGAACCTCACGGTACGATATTTATTGCAATATTATGTGGAAGCTCACGATATGGTGGGGAGGCTCACCATTAGGGATGTAACAATATCCAAATTTCTCTGTATGATATTTTCACAATGTACATCTCACGGTATGATATTTACTCCGCTATTTTGTGGAGGCTAACAAAACTGTTACTATGCTACTTTTTCCTCTTAAAATGCCTTGACAAGACTTAATCCAAAGAACTATGACTTAAAAGTGCATAGAACTGTGATTTCTTCATGTAGCCTGCACTGAAATGGAGCAATGGATCATGGTCTATGTAGTTCCCTCTGTCTACTTTTTTTGCTGTAATTCAATATATTGTGATGGTCCACAATATTATTGTGAGAACTTTGACGATACGATATCACAATATTTCAGTTATTGTTACATCCCTATTGAAAACACAAGAGTAATATGTTAGTGGAAAGTTTTAGAACAGTGGCTTATATAGTACAGTATAGTCTGTATATTTCTTCAGTGTGTTGCCCCCAGTGGTCTGTCTGTATTTTAAAAATGAAGTCATGAAGCAATAAACTCTGTTCTCATCCATAAACCTGCTCCTCAGATCAATGTTTACTGCCCCTCAGATGTTTGTATCTACACTATGCTGCCGGAGTACTGCTAACTCTGGAGTTTGATCTCTCACTTAGGTAACGCTGTGACACTGCAGAGGAAAAATACAGGCATGATGCAAAAATGGTAGGCTTAGTTCTTTTTCGTAACAGATTGTGCCAGGCCCAAGCTCAGTCAAATGCAGGTGGTCATATGAAGAAAAGTCCACATTTAACCTACGTATACATGGGTCATATAACAAAATCGGGCAGTGCTATCAAGCATGGTGAAACGGGTAAATGGTCACTTTTTCTACCTTCAAGGCACTCAGAGCTCTTTCACATCTAAGAACCAGTACACACAGACAGTGGGGCAAGGCAGATTACATGTCTTGCCCAAGGACACAACCGTGGTGTTCATCTGCGGGAGCGGGAAATGCACTGCTAACCTGTAGGCCGAGGAATCTGACCGCCCTACCACGGACTTTTATTTTAAGAGAGGAATTCGAACTGGCCACCTTTGGATCTATTGACGAGCACTCTCACATTTGAGCATCTAGTATACTTACTACTAGTATATTTACAAGTAATTTTAGAAAATGCTATCCAATGTTGTACAGCAGTATAGTTACTTAAGTGACATTTTGTGATATATTAAGTTGTAATACAAGAGCTGATATATTTTACACATATTTTGTTCAACCATTTTAATTATTTATGCTCAATTCAATCATGCTAAATGTAAAGTATGAGAAAGTTGTTATTGCTATTGTTTTAAATAATTAATAAAATATAATATAAACTGTGCATAGTTTTGCAGTTAAAAAAAAACAAGTTTGATACTGTAAATCTATTGATGTTGACGCAGATAAGATTTTTGAGAATTACCATCCATGTTTTACAGTTTCCCCCCACTACCTCTGACCACACTATGTACCACCACACACTTGATGAAGTAAGAGTGTTCCCCTCTCTGCTGTTGCCTGCACTGGTCAGCCATAATGCCCGCTTCACTCACTCACAGTAACACCCCTGGAGCTCTCAGTCTTTCAAATGTACACCCAGTGCCACATAGCGTACAGTTTACCTCAATAGCTCCTTTTGCTCAAGCTGTCTTTTCTGAAAACGCAGTGCCAACGGCGTAGACCTGTTATTTTCGGCTTTTGGAGACCTCTTTTCAGTCACTGGCAGCGATGTGCGCACAGTTGCTCAGTATAGATACAAGATTTGAATTTCCTTATGACCACTCCAAGGCGCATTACCATCATGACAAAGTGGCTGAGGGGATGAATGTGGCGTTCACACGGGTCAGGGAATCTCTTGGAAATTACTGGGTGCGTCGGCTTTTCACAGTGAAGAATGGACAGATGGAGAGAGCGAGAGACGCAAAAACAGGAGTCGGTGCAAGTCTACAGCTTGGAAGACAGTTAGGTTTAAGTTGAGGAAGCGTAGAGTGACATAAGGCTCGTCACCATCGCCTGCTGTAACATCCAAACATGGAAATGACTGTCTCAAGAGCCACGTGTAGCTAGATAAATATATTCTGATATAGTTTGGGCACCATTTAAATATTGATGCTACGCGATCTCATAACGAGCTCGCATCCCAGTCCATGCGTCACGACTTGGACGCAATGCAACTGACCATCCCAAGCCCGAGTCCTTCTGCCCTGGCTCCTCTAAGCATCAGAGTACAATACAGTATGTTGCCTGAAGTAAGGCTAGAAAAAATGCATGTTACTCACCCACTCAGCCCGGGTGCGTTTCCTCCCGGCGTGTCTCTAGCGGTGCAGTCCGTGTCCGAGTATCCAGAAAAAAGCGGAGAAAATTAGGTATAAAGGTGTAGTAAGGAAGCCAATGACTTCCACTCTCCTCTTCCTCCTATGCTCGATTCACTCTTCGCTCAGTTCCCCTCTGTGTGAGGCTCTGCTATTAATCCAGGCATTGTCTCCTTCATCAGAGCAATTAAGATGGAGAGGATAGTGAAGTTCGGAGAGGCTTGTGTTTCCTTAAAATATAATCCAGCTGCTGGCACAGTCTAAAGAAAAAAAAAAAATTAAAAAAAATAAAAAAAAAGGAAGAGAAATAAAGTTAACAGGTACAAAATGGTTGAGGGATGGCAAGCAAAGGCGTAAATAATTCCCAAACGATCTCCCAAAGTGCTTTTAAAACATAGAATTACGCCGTTGCACCTGCTACCAAGAAGTGGTTACGCACGGGTAGAACAGTTGCGTCAATGCCAAAATACTCTTCTCGCGCTTTTTTTCTGAATTTGTTTATCCTTCCATCACTCTGGGGTTAAAGCCTGGATCCTCTTCTCCAAACGGTTCAGAAAAATAAGCGTCTCTTCGGGGCAGCTGTCTTGGCTTTGCAACACGCTGCCTCTCTCTTCAACAAGCGCTGTCCACACGCTCCTGGTGGATGAAGCCCCGCCCCTCCGAAGCTCTGATTGGAGGAGAGGCGCGGAGAAAACTGTGAAGAGGGTGAGCGAGGGAGAGAGACAGGGAGGAAAGTAGAAACGGGAGGGGTGGAGGGAATAAGGAAAAGACCATAAACCTCCGAGAGATGAGAAAAATGAAGGCGAGGGGCGCGCGGAGGGACGAGAAGTTAAAGGAGTGCCATCAGGAGGTTGAAGCGCGCTGAAGGGGGTCTCTGGATCAAGGTGGAGGTGTTATGAGTCTGAGCCCAAAGGAGCAGCGGGCTAATAAAGGAAAAATGCTCCCATCTTTTTATAATGACTCTCATTAAGATTTCCTAGCCTGAAATGACTAGCACCTGAGGATTTCGCGTGATTTCAACGAAGGTGCTTTGTTAATCAGGTGAATAATATCTTTAGACTATTAAAATTAGGTAATAGATTGGCCAATTCAGGGGGTGCAGGGGTGCAACTCTGGCATCTGGAGTATCAATAGACTCAGTTTAAACAGTAAAATGGGCTTGTTAATGTATCTCTTATAAGGAAAACTACAAACCAATATTTATAAAGCCAGTTTCATAATTTCATATTCAGACCTCTGCAATTATGATAAGTGCACTTCCCTGGTCATTTCCATACAGATGCTGAACTGAATGCCTCTACATTGCTCATAGGAAATGAATATTGGATGTTAAAGAGTCCATATTATATTTTCTGATCTATGTTATCATGTTGTTTCCTCGTCACAAATGTAGCTGGAGATGTGTTTTGTTTCATTCACACACGTATAACACACTTTAACAGAAATGTGGCAATATAGAAAGTGCTCCACTCTGTTTTCAAACTCCAGTCACCTTCACTCATTTGGGAAATCTCAGCCCTGGAATTTCTAATCTCTACTAAACAAAAGGTAAGAAGTAGCTGTTAACTTGAAAGCTGCAACTTCATGACATCACAAGGTGAAACAGAGCATTTTGAAATTTGGAGATGTAGAGGCTTGTGTTTCCTTAAAATATAATTCGGCTACAGGCACAGTCTTTCAAAAAAAAAAAAAAAGGAAGAGAAATAAAGTTAAGAGGTACAAAATGGTTGAGGGATGACAATCAAAGGCGTAAATAATCCCCAAACAATCTCCCAAACTGCTTTTAAACATAGAATTACGCTGTTGCTCCTCTGCAGTTATGAGAAGTGCACTTCCCCAGTCAATTCCATACAGGAAAGGAGCTGTTAACTTGAAAACTACAGCTTCATGACATCACAAGGTGGAACAGAGCATTTTGAGATTTGGAGAAGTAGACAGACATAATACAGGATTACTCAAGCATGTGTGAATGAAAAAAAACACAACTCCAGGTATGTTTTATTTGAACATGTCTTAAATCTCACAAGAATCAATTTTGTATAATCTAGGACCTTTAACTCAAGTGTTGCAGAGCTATAGCATTGAACCCCATCAGTACAGTGTTTATGTCAGTCCCACAAAAAGAAAAAAAATTAAATTCTTCCTCTTGAATTTGACATCTTTATGCTGCTTGTAATGACAACACATTTGTTATAAAACTTGGTAACATCTCACACTCCAGCCTGTGTCTTACATGGCAAGGATCCCTGGTTGTCTGTTTCCTCTTTAATTCCGTCTGCTGGCCTCTCTTTCTTTCTCCTTCTCTTCCTCTTTCTCTCTTAAGTCTGGTGCGTGTCAGCTGAGAAAGGCTCCAGTCTCCACACACCCGTCTGTGATGAATAAGTAAGTGGTGAAGGAGGCTGGCGCTTGTTGAATCCACTGCCCAGGGGCGTTATAGAGGGAGCAGTCACAGTACAGCGTATCTGTAATGGGAGCAAATGAGGTACGTCTCATATTGTATTTGTCTATGGGATGAATTAAACTCAAGTTGCAGCCATAATAGCACCTCAGCACCATATGCCTTTATATAGGATTTTAAATTGGAATCAGATCTAAACTTGGAGTTGGACACCACAAAATGTCAGAGTTAGGCCCTAATAGGTTGCATTCATGATGGTGGGGTGATGACTTTAGCATTTCTTTCACAGCTTTTGACAGAAATATCCAAAAATGCTGAACCTTTTATTTATTAAAGTCTAAATCTGCAAACTGGCCATAATTAAGAGAGAAGTCATTTTTACAAAAACAAGACTACCCCTTCAAACGGACTTTTATTGGTAAAAGAGTTGACAAATGTGTTGACAAAGATATTGGACCTGCTCATGTTTGCCAAATGGACAGGAACAGTATTCATAGAGGAATAATGTATAAACTTGTGGATTTAGGAAACTGCAAAGTCCGGTATAAATTTTACCATAGCTCAACCTCCCTGTATCTCAATTTTAAACTATGGACAGTGTGATCCCACAAGAACCCAACCTGTTGCCTTTTGACTGGCAATTCTGATGCTACCTCCTTTTTTCATAGTTCGTAGTTTCACCCACTTAAAACACTTTAAATTATATATGGCACATTTGATTGCACAACACTTTTAATCATATTTGTACATATTAAAAAAGGACATTGCTCTTAATTGTTTTTTAAAGTGTATTTATTTAATTGCCTTTCCTTTTACCTCTTTAATCTTGAGGCACAGTAGCACTTTAATTGAAAGATGCTGGTTCCTGGAGAGAAAGGAGACATAATTAACCAGTTGCAATAAACTGAGTTGTGCAATATATATGGTGCAATATCTATTGTCAGTATGTTTATAAGTATTCATGTGTGCGTTAGCAGAAGTAAAAGTGCAGATACAGAAATAAAAGTGCAGATACAAAGGCAAAAAGTTGCTCAAAAGTAAAATGTCACATGAAAACTTAAGCTTAAGTAAAAGTATTAAAGTTTCTGTTTAAAATGTACTTTAAGAGTAAAACGTAAAAGTATTTCACATTAGGGTTAATTAGTTTAAATTGTTTAGTTTGCTGAAAAATTAAACGAACTGAAAACCTTTAGACAGGATGTTACCACAAAGTAAAATAATCCTTAAAGAACACATATTACACCAAACCAACTTTTCATTTTTACTTTTCAGTCCAGTTTCAGAATGTAGTGGAGTAGAATGTACAGATACCTGCTCTCAAATGTAGTGAAGTAAAAATAAAAGTATCTACTTTAAAATGCACTTAAGTACAGATACCTAAAAATTCTACTTTAATACTTGTACTTCATTACCTCCATCTCCTGTGTGTTCGTGTGTTTTTAGTGTTTTAATGACTGGTGTTTGTTGCATGTTCACTTACCTCCAGATCCATGTTAACGCCTTTTTTTTGTGTCCAGGTCTTAAAAGAGTCCCTAAGCTACAAAGTCCTCTTTTGAAGGTTCCAGGCTGGACCAAGTCAAGAAAATGTACAGGGGTAGTGGGGTAGGTATTTTATTGGTTTGTGTTTTTTTTTAAAGTTTACCTGGTGTATAGATTTAGGGTTTTTATGTATATAGCTGGATTTTTAATACTTTCTTGGTTTTGAGGTTTGTGTTATTGAGTGTTTAGGTGATATTTTAAAGCTAATGTTAATTTTATCATCCCTGTTTTATCTTGCTTAGTTTTATCCAATCAGTCAGACAAGATAAAAGTCTCTTCCATACAACATTCTGCTTTTTTTGCTGCTGGAGAGGAAACTGCTGCTTGACCTCCTTATTACACACTGCACTTTTTGGTACCTGCACTTTTTGTAATTATTGAAACGTAAAAGTATAGGCCAAATTGCTTCCTTCGTCTGTGCTTTCAACCTACTTCACATCACTATTAGACTCCACTCAACGTAAACAACTTATTCTGATTATTCTGATGTTATTCTGAATTTATCAATGCAGGTAAGTTGTTTAAGCGTATTGCCCATGGACACAACAACACAAAACATTTCCTCATGCACCCCAATTTAGAGAGATCCAAACTTGTGCTCAGTACTAATGGCCACACAAAAACAGAAGACACTGAAAACTGAACTGAACCTGAAGCTATTACATCACCAATATGAAGCCCTTTTATAAGTAAAATCGAGCATGCTAAATTTACAACCCAGGGGCACTGAAAAGAAAATAAACAGTGTGAACCATGCCTGTAATAGTAGCAAATGAGGTGAGCTGGATATTACATTTGTTGTGGTGCAAAATGGCTCAGGATAGAGGGACATGAAGCCAGACAAAAATGGCTTGACAGCTCCTGGGAGAGGCTTTGATTGATGGCAATGCTCCAGGGAACACTTCAATATGAACTTGGTTAAGTCAGAGCCACAAGAAGCATTCATCAAGCCACTGCCATATCGCGAGGGGAGTTCGACGCTCACTGCAAGCAAAGGCAGCGTTTTATTTGTAAAAGTATCTGGGGAACATCTTCACAAGAGTTGCGACTACCTATCTGCAGCTATTTAAGGATCACATCAACACTTTCCAGCCCTCTCACGGATCCAAGTATCAGCGACCTTCCAGCAGCTGTGAGAAATTAGTTTGAACTTTTGAGGGACTATGAGGACAAGGGAAGAGAGCGCATCGTGGACTAAAATGAGAGTTCGGTTGGTGTATTAATGAGCAGATATTTGTTTTTCTGTGGAATGCTTTTACAGTAAGACTTCTTTGAGTGACAGCCATCACTGTACTTGTCTTTCGAATCAGGAACAGATCACTTCAAATTTGATTTAATACTAGTCATTTTGTCTGAAATATTCAAAATGATGTCACAATGTCTTTGCTTTAGCCATGTATCTTACATTTTAATAATGTAGGGTTGGATGATGTGACAAAAAGTATTTTCTCAAACTGATCTCTCCAAATTCTTTTATTTGATTTTACTTGATCTTAAGCAAATAAATGTCAAAACAGACAATATAAAGCATGCTCCCTTGTCTATATATTTTCAGAAAAGGAAAATGCTCTATTTCTATACTATAAGATAATCAAGATTAAGTAGTTAATGATGTTTTAAGCTATATTCATTATCCCTGTATGGAAATTTGTTCTCCGCATTTGGCCCAGCTTCCTGTGCCCCTGGCTGCCTGGCAAATCCAGAATCTCTCTGTATTTTTACAAATGGATATTACATTTTATACAAATAGATGTCAGTCTGGTCCTCACAGTCTCTGTTGTGCTTTGAGCCTGGATAATGCAATCACAAGTAGTTTTTTTTTGTTTGTTTGTGGGTTGTTAGTGACATGTGAAACGATCTTTCACTTAATTTATTTCAGATCAGATTAAGAGTTTAGTGCTTCTCTCATTAATTCTGGTGAAATCTGTGATCTTTGTCAGTCCCTTGTGATTTTTTTTCATGTTTTTCTCATAAGCAGTCATTTCTGTTTTGATACGGACGGATAATGTGTTTCCAAGATTGGCTAATCCACCTGTCAATCATGCCCATCTGAAAACCGGTGCCCAGACTCACATCTTCGTAAAGTATTGAAGAAGTGTGTTCTGAAGCTCATGCAGTGCTACTGGGGCTACCTGTCAGAAGCAGTAGGCTCCACAGTGCACTGCTCCCCAGGTCTTGAGCTTGGCTTTGTCAGGAGTATCTTAGTTGGAGGATTTTGCGTTGTGCATGTTCGGGTTGATAGGGATAATTGAAGTGCCTGCTGGAAACCCATTCAGGAGTCAAACTCAGAACCTTCTTGCTGTGGGGTGAAAGTGCTGTAGCAGCCAATCATGGCCTTTCTCCAGGGGCAAAAATAGGCATGAAAATAATTGCACTTGAGCCTTTCATCTATTGCCTTCTATTTCAAGCAACTATGGAGGCTTGACAATAACATGAGATTATAAGTCTTTGCACCTTTTTGCCATAGATGACCCGATGCGTCCTGTTGAGTGAAAATGCAAAGATGTCATTGTGTGTGTGTCAACGGCAAAGGACATGCTTATGGGGGGGCTCGTGTGGGCTGCATCACAGAGCGCTCCAGGCCTGTTTGGCTCACAGATAAATAAACGGTTTGAGCTTCACACGGATGATGGGGTCTGTGGGATATTGGAGGGATTTTTAAGACTTCAATGGGATCAGATCAGCAGCGGAGGCCATGCAAATCAAACTTTTGTTCCAGCGTTCAAAACAGAATAACACGCCAGCCGTGTCTTTGTGTGTGGCACAGGTGCACTTTCACAAGTCCTGCTGAAATGTTTTCAATTATGTGGCTATTTACCAAAGTCATGACTAATGCTCGTGCTCATTAAAATGTGGAAAAAATATCACTAAAGAAAATGAAAGGAAAATGTTACCTGATTTATTTTATCTGTGTCCTGTGTTCTAACATGATTAGAAACTTGATCAACTGTGTAATCTCTGTATTCTGCAATAGTTTGGATCTGTTGATATAGTGCTGGTGCACATAGAATCATCTGGAGTTACACAGACTGTAAAGCCAGTTCCTATAAGAACATATTGTGATTACCATATTTACCCATAGCAAGCTGTCATAGATATTTGCATATTTCCAACAAACTCTAACACTACATTTTGAGTTACTGGGCCAACAAACCAACCATCAAAGCAGCCAACTTCAGCTGTTGTGTGCTTGTTTATTGTTTTTAGGACCCTCATTAGTGCAGACAAGCTGACACTATTCTTCCTGCGGTCCAAATAAGATAATTACACCAAAATATTTACATTTCAGACCTATAAATAAGTTCAGTAATACAAAATGAATAAATATACATTTCAAATTGTAAAATCTTTCATTACCTTCACTGACAACAAGCAAAGTGCCAGAGAGTTTGTGAGAGGAAAGAAACCATTTTAAATCTTCCTTTAAAAATTTATACTGAAATAGTTCATATTAAAGTAGCATCAATAGTCCATTCCTCTCCACAAATTACAAAGTACAAAAATGTGGATGAAACCATAGTGATGGGAGAGCAGAGATGACAGAGGATCACTGAAATACATGTCCCTTTTGTACGAGGCTTTGGAAAGCACACCCACTCCACAGATCAGTCTGGGCTCTGTTTTTATGCAGGACTTTTGAACATGGTATGATGCTAAACTGTGGACAGCAGGGAATGATTTTTTTTCCCTACATAAATAAAATCACAGCTGAAGACTGTTTTTCTTGCTGTGACACATTCTGTATGTTCACAATGTTCTATCATGTGTATCTGCAGTTTTTTTCTGTACGATTTAATGTTTACATCAAAATATTGTTTACTTGCTGTGTACTTTTCATGATTTTCAATGGCAGCATGCATGGACTATTGCCGGGTTTCAGATGGCATCGCAACATTGTATAAACCAATAATATTTAATACAGATGGAAGCAGGTAAAATCACTGTTAAAATGCAGATTTGTGCATTGATTGCAACGGACAATGTAATCAATAGTGGACCGTGTGGACCAGAACTAAAACTAGGACTAAACCAGAACTAAAACCAGAACTAAAGTCAGGACTAAAACCAGAACTAAAGTCAGAACTAAAACCAGAACTAAAGCCAGAACTAAAACCAGAACTAAAGTCAGAACTAAAACCAGAACTAAAGTCAGAACTAAAACCAGAACTAAAGCCAGAACTAAAGCCAGGACTAAAGCCAGGTCTAAACCAGGACTAAACCAGGTCTAAAACCAGAACTAAAACCAGGACTAAACCAAAACTAAAACCAGGAAAAAACAAGGACTAAACCAGAACTAAAATCAGGACTAAACCAGAACTAAAATCAGGACTAAACCAGAACTAAACCATGTCTAAAACCAGAACTAAAACCAGGACTAAACCAGAACTAAACTAGAACTAAACCATGACTAAACCAGGCCTAAAACCAGAATAAAATCAGGACTAAACCAGAACTAAAACCAGAACTAAAGCCAAGAATAAACAAGGACTAAACCAGAACTTAAATCAGGACTAAACCAGAACTAAACGAGGACTAAACCAGAACTAAACCAGAACTAAACCCAGGACTAAACCAGAACTAAAACCAGGACTAAAATCATAACTAAACCACAAGTAAACCAGGACTAATGCCAGAACTAAACCAGGTCTAAAGCCAGGACTCAACCAGGTCTAATACCAGGAATAAACCAGGTCTAATACCAGGACTAAACCAGGTCTAAATCCAGGTCTAAATCCAGGTCTAAAACCAGAACTAAAACCAGAACTAAAATCAGGACTAAAACAGAACTAAACCATGACCTAAACACGTCCAAAACAGGATTTAATCAGGACTAAACCATGCTGCGCGGACCACGCCTCCTCCAGCCTCCTCCCACAGGCCACGGTCCACGAGCACCACCCAGTCCGTGAAACATTGTTGAACATAAAATGGTTCCATGGTGCAAAAAAAGGATGGAGACCACCGATC